GTAGTCCCAACAAGCCCAACGCGCGCACACACACACATATACAAATACTGGCACCATCAATCAACATAAAATAACCCCAGACTGTTGCCTGTTTCTCAAACACTTATTCAATGGAGATTCTATGGTAGCAGGCAGACAACTTTATGGCTTTAATAATGAGTGTATTTAGCAGCTACAAGGACAAAAGATATTAAAAGGCTCTGCATACTAATGGTAATTTAATAAATATGAACAGACAACACTTTTGGTGGTTTTGCTTATTCTGGCGGCCCAGAATAGCGCCTGTGTGTTTCCTCTCTAAATGCTCATGCAAAGTGCCAGTGCCGTTGTGGTATGCCATCAAAACAGTGCACTAAACCACCTTCTCTTGTGATAATTTGAACTACAGTAAGCCCTCGTGCATTCGCGCATCGTGATTTGCTAATTCACAGATCCGCGAAAATTTCATTGGAAACGAACTTGTTTGCATCCGCGATTTTTTTTCGCACATCTGCGAAATCCTCGAAAAACCCTACAAAAGTGTTTAAGTTTAATTTTCGTAGTAACTTGTGTTTTCATGCTGTTGCAGTGCAAGTGTTAAACTGGTAAGAAAAGCTTAGTTAATGAAGATTCTGCTGTGTTTTTGGAGAAAGTTCAAGACATACAATATAAATCAGTAAAAAAAAATCCTTAAAAAACATGGCTTTCTTATGGAAGCGTTCCCTTTTATGTACATACTGCACTGTACCTTTACAAGATGCGAATCCCATTCGCAAAGTTTATTACCTTTGGAACTGTCATGACCTGCTGAACACTGAAAGCGTTCGATTACTTATTTTACCTCACTGTGAATGCAAAAGGAAAACGGCAGCCAATGCCATGTTCTATGAATTAGTATGGGTAACATTCCTATACTGTACTGTAAATGTGCTAGTGTGACAAATATCCGTTAGGCGATACTGTACTCTATTTTTACATCAAACATTTGCTTTTTAAAGGTAATGTATTAGGCTAACTTTTAAGTTAAAGTCTTTTGGGAGCATATTTAGGGTTTAAACTAGAGAAATAAGCACATATTACCATTTTTAGTGGCTCTACCAAACATCCGCGAAACCTCCTCATTCACGACGGGTTCTGGAACGTACAGTAACCACGCCAATGTCCGAGGTCTTACTGTACTCCCATAATTACACAGTGGTATTAAAGGTAAACAGAATATGAATGTTAATGAACAAAAAAAATCTACAACCCTTTGATGTTTATAACATTGCTCTTAAAACAGAAGGCGAATGTTTATGAACAAAAAAAAATCTAAATCTAAAACCTATTTGGGATATGGCTCCAAAAGGGGGTCTGAACAAACTGGAAAGCAGACTAAACTTAAGACCATTAACTAATCACACTAAGGAACTAAGAGATCGTGGGAAATAGGACTAGAAACAAGTTAGGTAACACCAAGCGGAGCAGGGGCGTCGCACCCGTGGGGGATGTGGGTGTTTTAACACC